ATGTATAATCAAAATGGTGTTTACATGACACCACGTATCTTACATATTTAGGGCATAAACTAAGCGACAGCGCTCAGTTTATAATAGTCTCTTGAAGTGGTAAGATCGCGATTCAACGTTTGTTTCATATTATAAATCTGTAGCTGCCTCATAAAATAGGGTAAGACATTAAATAAATTGAATAAAATATTTAGCTTATATATCTCTTTTTCATTGAATGTATACATATAAAAATGTGTGAAATAACAAGCAACTATTTTATTTCTTTAAAAGATTTTCCTTCAATTTTCAAATGAATATAGTTCTTTATTGAAAGTACTATTTTCATATATCGCAGGTAATATCGCAGGTAATATACAATTTACTTTTAGTCCCGATTTACAATAGACAATTTAAGCCCTAAGCCTTAAGAAATTGACCAATCACAGTCGAGACCTTATTCCTTTGTCCTTAGACCTTTTCCATTGTCCATCGAGAAATCTATGCCTTTTTATCCTATTCTAGAGTCGAACATTTTGAAGCATTTCTAAGTAAAGTTGGTTCTCAGTTTGAATCACGTGAGGGCAACGGTCATACCACGTTGTAAAACATTCTGTTCTCGTCCGATCACTGAAGTTAACGTTGAGCATCGTCAGATCTTAAATGGGTGAATCATCTGAAACGAACTTGCTTTTCTCGATGGCTAGCAATAAGATTGAATATTTACCGATTGAAATAATCAGTATCATTCTAGAAGACAAAAACATCAGCATAACGGATGTCATGAGCTTTAAGTCCACGTGTAAAAGATTACAACAGACAACACTGAGCAACCACTTTTGGAAAAAGAAGTTTTGTCAGAGGTACTTTATATTTATATTTATAAATTTATACTAATTTTTAATTTTACTTTATATTTATGAACTTTATATTAATTATGTTATATTAATTTCACATTTTATCAATATTCGCACAACAAAATAATTCCGTAAAAACAAAATGATGAAAAGGGATAATTAAAATTATTACGTTATTATTTTAGTAATTCTATTAAATAATGAACATAAAGTTTATCCACACACGCAAAACGACAAACTATAAGACATAAAAAATGACATTTTGGCAGCCTAAATGACATGAATAAGAATTCTTGCGTGCCATTTCATTATTATTCACTTTATTCTAATGCTGTGACGTGTAACGTGTTTGTGAAACCCATTAAATGTTCCGAAAACTAAGTTTAGCAAGAAATATATAGTGTAAAAAAACATTTTCCACTCATTTCAACAGTTGTCAAACCATGCGTTTTCTCGCTTACTTTGATACTTATTTTAAGGCAGTTAATTAACCGTCAAGGGAGAAACTTAGTTTTCGGAATATTTTACAAGTATATAAGGGTCTGTTCTTTTCAGCTGCACTGCTGCACTGGTGCAATTAGTTAGAGTGAAAGAAAGTATGTTTGTCTCTTTCCAACTTATTGCACTAGTGCAGGAGTACAGCTGAAAAGTACAGACCCAAAAATGAACAGGACCGGATTTAAATGTGTGGAGGCCCTGAAGCAACGAAGAGATGGAGGCCCCTAATCATTTTTAAACCAAAATCAAATAGAAATTTTTACGTTGTTTAAATAATTTATTGCGACATAACAAGGTCAAGCAACATACATAGACTATATAAATTAAACGATATAAATAGATAAAATTATTTTCGTTAGACGAACGATACTTTACGAGCTTTTTTCAACGAAAAATCATCAATGATTTCAGTGAAATCCAGCTCCCGAAGTAAATCGCTCTCTATGCTAAGCAGTGATAAATTTGACAGACGGTTTTGTATCATCATTGATCGTAGCCGATTTTTTATAAGCTTCATTTTTGAAAATGAACGCTCTCCACTACAGTTAGACACCATCAACACCAAGTACATTCTTAAGATAATTTCAACGTTAGGAAATGTAGCTCTGAAATTTTCCAGTAGTCAAATAATAGAAAAGCGAGAAGATTGATTCAGAAAAAAGGCTTTACAGGTATTAACTACATAGTATCTCAACTACAACTTCTTCCAATTTCATCAAAATTGGTGAAGAGCAGAGCGTAGCCTCCCCTTGTAAATGTTGTATACCATTTGAAATTTTACTTAAAAATTTATGTTGTGGAGGACCCCCTCTTGTGGAGGCCCCTGGGCTTCAGCCCCTGTAGCCCTCCCCTAAATCCGACCCTGAATGAATCAAGTCATCTTTTAGTCATCATATGAACAAAACTAAAAAGTCATTGAATTCGGGTCATGAGACGACTTTTAGCCATCTTTCCGTCGACTTAACGATGTCAGTAAAAGATGTCTGGGACAAAAAAATGTCCAGTTTTAATAGTACTTTTAGACGACTTGGTGCTGTATGGGGTCTTATTCATTTTTATTATTTCGATTTTGTAATTAAAAAAGTATATTCATTTTATAATATAAAAGAGCACATTTATTTTATAATATACAATAAAATTAGATTGCTGCTACAAATTTTCATATTTTAATTTTAAAATTAGCAATAATATGATTATGTTAAATGTATATTTAACATAATAATATTCAAATAAAAACACATTTCTTGCATTTATTTATTTCAAGATATTTTATATTGCTCTCAAAATTTACTTACATAATATTACATGTGTGTGTTTCATTTCATACATAATGTTTTTTAAAATTAAAGAGATGTAACCCTAACATTTATTTAAAACTTTCCGTTCATACTTTATAGTTTCTATTCAGCATTATAAAGCATTATATACAATTTTATTTATTTCAAGCTTGTAAAGATTAAATAATTTTTTATTGTACAGTTTTAATTTTTATTTTATAATGACATATAGGAACAAAATATTTCTACATATTTAATTTTCTCACATTCGATTTCTCATTTCTCATTAAATACGATATAAAGTAAGAAATTTAAATATATGCGAGACAGATACATCTTGACATCACCTTATTCGGACAATACAAGTTATCGATTACTATAGCGACAATTACAATTTGTGATTCAAGAAATTAATATATTTCTCTTAAATAAATATTAAGATTACCAAATTATTTGATTTGCTTTAAATATTAATTTGTATATAATTAAAAAATGTACACGTATTTTAAAGAAAAATATGTGATATTCAAAATGTTCTATTTCAATTGTAGATGTCCTACTGCGAGAAAGTATTTCGCACAAAAGCCGAAGAAAACTTTTGATTATATAAATTTTAAAGAACTGATAAAAACAGGAATAAAACATGTAAAAAAGATACAATATTATGTATCATTGATGTCCGATAATAATTTATCGACAACTGACAAAGAAGAATTGGAAAACTTTCTACTTTACATTGTTGGAAATTCCAAATTGACTTATTATTTTGTGTTGGATGAGATAAACAGAATTAATTCTGCACAATGCCACTTACCATGGTATATTTTATTAAACTGTCATACATTGTTATTAATAATATAGATTCATGTATATATTATTTTATAGTTAATCTTTAAATTATTTTCAGGTCAAGATACGATCAAAATTTGACAATTAAATACAACTTGGAATTAATTGTAAATTTCTTAAAGCTGTACCGATATACATATAATAATATAAAACATATTTATAAGCCGACGATAAATTCGCCGCTATTAGAACGACTAATTACTATTATCGCGCAGTATCTTCAACCACATGTGTCTTATTCGGTCATAAAAATGTGGTTAGATAATATTTCACAAGAAATATTAGACCGCGTTAAAATGAAACATCCTACGCATTCCATATTCTCGACATCTGTAGAGAAATTTCTTTTTTGGAAAAATAATAATATAAATGATCATTTCTGGAATCCAACAGAAACAATGCAAATTATGTGTGAACTTGAAAAATATATCTTTTCGGAATTAGATATTTATAAATTGCTTCAATTATTGATGATATCCGATCTTGAAGACAAATATATATTGTTTGTAAGTAATTTTACATTATATTAAATTTTAATAGTAATTTGTTTTGTTTCGTGCAAGAATTACTATTTTCATATTTTATAAATGTCTTATTATGCAATTTTTTAAATATTATTTATAATATAGATTTCAGATTTTTTTTCAAAATATCTGCATATTGCTATATATCATAGCGTAGCCAGAAGATTGGGCATACACTGCATTCTACACCCAATATATACTGACGAGTATACTGAAGACAAGACTTTAGTAATTATATGGAGACAGAAAAAGTAAAATTACGTTTTATTTAATTATATTTCACTTACTCTGACAGTATTAACTTTGTTTTAATATATGAAATGATAAAATAATACTCGTATTATATATGGAATGACAAATATGTAAAAAGAAATTATTAAAATTTTTTTTTATAAGCTACTTCTCAAGTAAGATAGATTTATGAGCATTTTTTATCGATTGTAGATGGAGAATATAAGTATCAATTATAATAAATATTCCTTCTCTATATCTAAACATATATGCCTGTATATATATATATATATATAATGGATATCTTTTTATTATTTTCAGTAATACAAAGATTTGGGATAATGCAGAGTATTTTTATATACAAAAAGTATCCGAGCGCGAACTAATTTATCCGTTAAATATTGTTAAAGGAAGATATGATGAATTAAGATATGATAATTTACCTAAAATTGATGACAATGAGTGGCTATTCGAAGTAATATTTTATCTTACTTTTTAGCAATAGATGATCAAAATAACATTTAACTATAAGTCTTATTAATATATTAAGTCAATGAAGCAATACATTTTATAACCAATGAATGAAAATAAAAACGTTATTTTTATTTTCTTGTTTGTAATTGAAACTGAAATTTTGTTTATCTGTGTTTTTAGATAACATACAATAATATGATAAACGATATAACAATTGAACTACAAAATTATCGTATAAATTTTAAATGGCATTTTAAACTGATTTCCAAAATCCTGTGCAGTATATATGTTAATGTAGATAGTACTGACAATGAGATGCATTCTACATGCTTTTATGATGATGTGTGGATTAACGATTACTACAATCAAATTACAGATGTAATACAGGTAAGGTTATTATATATCATGCAACATATTTTAATATTCATTTATCAATATATAAAGAAATTATATTAATTATAATTATTTACAATTTAAATTATTATTTTAAAAATCGACAAGATATTATTTGAATGTTGCTTTTATATTTTCGCAGGTTAGATCTGATAAAAAACAATCAAAAGAAAGGAAAGAAGAAATGAAATTTGCTGTGGGAATGATCGTAACGCTTTCCTCATCTTTGCCAAATTGGTGTCGCGATTCACGAACTTATGGGGTGATAATTGGTTGGCATGATAAATGTGAATTTACGACGCTAAATGAGGAAAATGAGGTGTCTCCATTTTTGAATAGATATTATTATGATAACAGTGATGTAAATGGAGAGCATTTAAATTCCAACCAACCGCACTACACAATTCTCGCCGAAAATAATAAAATGTTTTATGCGGCACAAGATCTGATATCGAAATGTCTACCAAAAGAAATCAATAATATAGCAATAGGGCGATACTTTTATAGATTTGAGGGTACTCATTACGTACCAAATAAAAACCTGCAACAAAGGTATCCATATGATATACAATATCATACAGAATGTATCACAAATTTTGGTAAATGATTTTTGGTCAATATGTCGAAGGGAACCTCTTCGAACTTGACGTATATTGTCAAGGTTGCTGCCCTGAGTAACATCAAAAGATTTTAGCCATCGCTCTTCTAATTGCTATATATATATATATATATATATATATATATATATATATATATAAAAGAATGAATAGAATGATGACTATTTTTCATACAATGTCTGAAGTATTATATAAAAAAGTCTAGATTGTGAAATAAATCTACGCATGCACATTATAAAAAATGTTTTTTTATATTAAATACAAATGATTTCTTTTTGTTTTCTCATCATAAAACTAAAGTAATCAGTCGAGCACGTTAGAAATTCAAGAACAAAGTATGTGGAAAAGAAAAAATAGATCGAGTGTAGTAAAAAAATGTATAATTGAAACTTTTACTAGCGCCTACATATCCGGAATCTGCCAATATCCTCCGATTTCACGATTGTGGATATGATTGGAAGTGGGGTGTGTCGATGCAACCCTCTCATTTGCGCAACAACTGTTCGCGCGTGATCTTTGATGCGAGCGCGATACACCTTTCTCCACTTGCCCCGCAGAAAATTAGCGATATTATGTGCTTTATCGCGTGACATGTACATCGACATATCGTTAAAATCTCTCGCGCACTAAACGTATGTAAGACTTCACCAGCCCTTTCGACTGGTAAAGGTTTATCGAGAATTTATCTCGCGTTCTCTTTCCCATGATTAACGAGCCTTTTGACTTTTTTCCGCTAATTATTGTAACAACCTGTTGTCGAATCGAGTTCAGGGCAATCCATTTGTAAAACGGTGATTCCGAGTGTCGTAAAAATAATACGTTTACATCAGACAATAATATATACCAGTGGTATTAAGCGCTTGATTCTTTATTTCATATTTTTTGTTATTTTTTAAAAAACGTTATCGTCATGCATTTTAATACATGAATGAGGGAATAATAATTGAAAGATTAATTTTAATTTTATTTATTTATTTCTTAACTCACGCTTTGTGGCATTGGATGCCTTTCAGTTTTATATTTGTTTTTCTTGCGTAATGTAAATAAATTAGATATCGAAAGTAAAATATCTACAATGTCTGAAGGTATCTAGAATAAAGTAGAATGGAAATCATTACAAAATGGAACTGAAAAATGAAATAATAATAGTATTAATTAATACTAATAAACTTAAAATTTTCAGTTATATGTGAAAATAAAACTAAGCATTAAAAATAAATAAATAAAAGTAACATCAAATACAAATAAGAATTAAAATCAAGGTTATTTTCGTTGTGGCTCATTGATCGCCTAAAATTGAAGATAAAATTAAAGTAAGAATGAAAATCCAAGTTAAAATTAAAATTGAAATTCAGTATTAAATATTATGTATTGTAATTTAAAATAAAAAGAATTTTGAAGCTAAATATTGAAAATAAAACAAATTCAAAAATCAAATAATAGATTTAAAATTTAAACATCTTTGATCAAAACTGACAAATTTATATTTCCAAGATTTTAATTTTAATTAAAATTATTGCATATTGTCTTATAAAGATAATTTCTTAACAAAATGTTTCTTTGTTATACTTTTCTGTAAAAATTTTTAAGTTATTGCATTATTATTATTGGCAAGCTTCTTAAGAAAAAATAAAGAGGCAAAGAGATCGATTCGAAATTTTATGCCAAATGTTCAAATATCTTTTGTATTTTTTTTTCTTTTCTCTTTTATTAATCATAAGATATAATAAAGTGCCAGAAAGGAAAAGAGGCGAACTGGGCAGAAAAATGACTGTGTAACCGAACTGTGTAATCGAAAACCGTCGTCGCATAGTGAAACTTTCGTTATGGATGAAATTTAAGATGATTGAAAAATGCATATCTCTATACATATCATATAAGTGGATCAGAATGAATCATGTATTGATAAAAAAGAGAAATGTCGTGTACGACTTAATTTTCATATTCATATCTTTGAAGATTAAATTACTAATTCTAGACTGGAACTGTCTTCTCAAATTATGATTTTATTTAAAGCGACTAGGTGATGATGATTATTTTAAGAGTCCAAGATTATTGTTTTAATTGTTAATTTGTTATGATTAATAATTTGAAGAATTAAATTCAATGACAATACTTATTTCAAATATTAAAATAAAATTTATCAAACTTTATTAGCAAATTAGTTTTTTTCACAAAAAATGTCTTTGATAAATATTCCTTTTTTAATATTTGAAATAGACATATAGTTATTTTCCGAAATCCTGTACTATTTTATCTTATTCGAAAAGATTCGAAGAATTTGATTAATTTTAACATTTTTTTTGATCGCATGTACATTAATATCACAGATATTTTATTAAACGAATGATTCTCCTTCGAGTGACGGATATCGATTAATTCTTAATTCTCACCATATCGATCGCGTGATTTAACAAAGAATTTTCGTGACGAGTGCGCTATAGAAAAATCATTTTAGAAAGGCGTATTAGCCACGCGTACCTCTACCTTATTAACTCTACTATCGCTAAACTACTCCTACGTTTCTATTCAAGTGTGCATATTATATCTGCACGCATATTATATTGCGTAGATATACATACACACGTATAATTCGTTTCGGTGAGATACAATACTATGAGAATAGACTTTACCAGGGAGTATAAAAGGGAGTATGTCTCGTCAGGTCCATATCAGTTTCAATAGTGGTCCCTGCATCGTCGCATCATTGTCATCATGAACGCTATAGTGAGTAATTATCGTACAAATTATTCGTGAAAAAACTCGTGCTTTTTTATCATATATATCAATAATTAATTAATCGTGACACGAAAATTTTTATCACGTATAATCTAGGGTCAGTTTTCATATATAATATTAATTTAGATTATAACCAGGATTGGGTAATAATTAGTTGATTAGTTAAAAGTTAAAAAAAAAAGTTAAAAAGTTAATAATTTTTAACTCAATTTAGTTATTTTAAAAAGAGTTAACTTTTAACTTTAACTAGTTATTTTTAAAACACATAAATTTAAACTTATTAACTTTCCCCCCAAATTTATTTGATGATTCATATTATTATTATTTAGAGTAATCTAATTTTAAAATTACAATCTAATTTAATATAAAGTGAAATAATGCTTTTCAAAATTTTAACTTTTATCTTAATTAACGTTAATTTAATCTTAACGTAACTTTTATTGAATTAATTTTTTATTTGTATAACTTTTAACATAACTAAATTAATTTTTTAACCCATTAACTTTAACTTAATTTAGTTTAAAAAAATATATAAACTTACCCAACCCTGATTATAACATACATCATCTTCAAAATAAAGGTAAAGGTTTAATTATAAGCCGCACTTATCTTTGAAGATGATACAAATTATAATCTAAAATGACGATAATATAATATAATAGCAGAGCAATATATAAGCGAAAATATTTTATTAGTTCACTTCTTAGTCACGAAAAGGATATCCTCAGATATCATAGTGAATATTTATTGTTAGAATGATAATTGATTTTAGTCTTATGAGTCGAATTTTTTATCATTTAGTTATTTTTAACATATAATAATCATGAAATACAAAATCCTAATAATCATATGATACAAAAAAATTGTTTTTTAAAAATCATGAAGAAGCTAAAAAATATGCTAAGTGATTTTCCTGCTTTCTAATAGATTCTGTTAACCGTCCTCGGTCTGACAATGCCTATTTTTGGCGAGGAGACGCAAGTGAAGAAACAAGACAAGAGAGGCATTTTAGGCTTAGGCCATGCTGGATTTGGAGGATCTGCATTTCAAGGCGATTCTTTAACGATTGGAACTGGTAATATTTATTTAAACTTATTTTCTTTTTCATTTAAATTTAATAGATTAGCGACAGCGTCACATATCTGGGTTTCACATTGTAACGATCAAAATTATTATACCAAATCAATTTTTTTTAAGTTGCATTTATTTACTTAATAATAATTTTTCTTAACAAATCTTAACAAATAATTTATAATAAAGTAATAAAATTTCTTATGTATAGAATAAATTATATAATAAAAGAGAGGAATTAAGAGATTTTATTCTTTTTCATTTTAATTTATATTATTTATCATATTTATATTTATACTTTTTATTTTTCTAACAATTTTTTACACCTCTCTAATTTCAGGTTACGGGCAAAGCTATCTCGGTGATGGTTCTCTAGGTCATGGTTTTTCTGTGCCTTCCTATCCCCATAGTGCGCCGTTATATTCATCGCAATATTCCGGTGGTTTGGGATACGGCGGTTTGGGATATGGTGGAAGAAGTTACTCTTCAGGAGGACTTGGTTATTCTTCAGGAGGACTTGGTTACTCCGGGATAAGATCCGGATACGGTACAGCAGGATTCGGATACGGTGCGGGATCTCAGGGAGGACACGGCATTGGTCTTAGCACCGGTTATCGTGGATGGTGAAATTACGAGCAATATTAATCAACATCGATATGACTCTTTTCTCGATTCTTTCTGTATTTCTTTTTTAACTATTTAATTTTAATGTTTGTATCATGCGGTTTCTGAATAAATTCTTTGTACTTTTTAAAATAATTATGGAATACCTTTACTTATAGCTTATTGCGGCGAAGACATCAATTAATAATTTTATTAACAGTGAACGTATAAATATAAATGAATTTGAAAAATAAATGAAATTTCGATTACCACAGATTCATAATATCTCCGAAAAAGATTTAGAATCCTTGACTCTATGTCAACTATTAAAAAAGAAGATGAAACACCAATTATATAAGCTTTGTACAATTTACTTCTAACAAGGAGATTAATACCCGACAAGTCTTCTATTTCTCTCTCATGCCTCTCTCTCGTTTTCTTTGACTCCATAATCGAATATTTATTTATCTATTTTTTAAATAGTACCCTTCTTATACCACAATCATATTTTAAAAAATCATAGATAATTAATTAATGACAATCATTATCTATATTGGTAATATATTAAAGTAATTTATTATTTTAGCTTAAGCATTGATATTTCGTACAGCGATTAATTTTCTTCCCTTAATCTGATCATTTAAAATGAAATGCTTGCACATATATCATTACGAACATAATAGGGGCCTTTGTTTTCTTAAATTAAATTAAATTAAATTAGAAGATGATTGATAAAAAAAAGAAACAATTTTATACATATTGGATATTAATTAATTAATTTTAATATTACGTTATTAATATAATTAGTAATATTGAGATTAATTTTAATTAGAATATTTTACTTAGAAATAATAAAGATAATAATAAATATAATAAATTTAAATACAATAATGAATGTAAATAAATGTAATAATGTATTAAAGATTTTTCTCAAATAAAAGATAATTGATTTTTATATGTTTCAGTTTCTTACAATCGGCAAATAGAATTTCTCTGTTTCTTACAATCGGCAAATAGAATTTCTACTTTATCATAATCCTTAATTCTTGCTGCTGCCTTCAGAAGTGATATTTATTAGTTGACAACAGGACGACACTAGGTTAAAAGTTTAAGAAGAAAGCATATTAATTACAATCATGAATGTCCTGGGCAGGAGTATAATGAACATAACAAGAACTTGCATAACAAGTCCTACTGGAGGTACGAAATCATTGTGTGATGTAATTTTAATATTTTCTTGATTATCTAACCTACAATATTGATTATCTAACCTCCAACTTTAATAAAAAAGCAAAGATAATTATTTTAACAATGAAAAGTTCATTTTTTTTTGCACAAATAACTTATTTATTGTTTATCAAAAATTAAATTTCGATCTGTAGAATAAAATATTCATGTTGTAATTTATAGATTCTTCTATGTATCTAATATTGCGTATAGAAGCTTTATATGCAATCTTTGGCATTGTTTTATATGCAATTTTTTGTCTGTTTTTTTTCTAGGTAATGCGTCAAGTCTTACAAAATTCTATGGAAATAGTTATATCCAAGGTAATCCTACCTAATATACATCAGTTTATTTAATAACGAACTGACATCTTATCCTTGGTATTAATAGGAAACTTACTGAATGCCGCAAGAACATGTGTGAATTCAACATTGCAAGGTAATAAAACATTCAAGTTTTTACATACATTTTTAAATACATATAAGGATTATATAATAATTTTTTTGCATTTACAATAGGTAATCAGTCTTTATATTGAATGACGTCCACATTTATATCAAATATTCATATATTTTTGTTACAATAGCAATTTGCCATTGGCCTGCTATTATATATATATAAATAATATTGTGCAGTTACTTTTTCTTGCAAAAATTTACAATTTTATTCAATATTACTTTTATTTTTTCTTTTATTTTTTAAATTAATTTAATTTATTACTTTTATAATAATTTGTGAAAAATCTATGAAGGAAATCTTTAAAGGAAATCTACTGATATTATTTAATTATGCATATACATCCTTATTTATAAATAATATTTTGCAGTAATTTTTATTTTCATAAAAACTCACGTGATTTTATTCACATTATTACTTATTATATATTACTTTTAATAAATTTTAAATTATTACATTTAATATAACCATCTTGAGAAATCTATTTTTTAAAATTATTTAATGTCGACTATTAATGATATGCAACATTAGTGAAATGTTTTGTTTCCTAATAAGAATAACAGGTGATTTAATGATAACATTTATCTTGAATTGACTTTACATATTTTACATTACACAAAAGTATATAAAATTAAATTAAACGCGTATATGAAAATAAATCCACTTTAGCCATAAAAAGAGAAGGATATTCTTGATAATCAAAAATCAAGATGCAGATTGGGATTTAAGAGACAGATCGGTAGTTTGATAACTCACTTACTGAAATATATATATACTATGTGCAAAATGTTAGGAGCACACTCCTCGTGTTTCCTGTAACTGCGAAATGGTCCTCGAGAGAACTATTATATAGGCGCTCTTTCAGATACCTATCTCTGCGATTTTCTTGGGTCCGGCAAGCGCGAAAGTAGTGTTCGAGATTTGAAGGAAGTCGGCCAAATTTCCCATCGGACATTCTTCCGCTGTGAAAATACGTCGCAGCTTTCACCTCTTTGATTCCCACAGAGAGATCTCAGAATACAGAAAGGGATCCTATTCGCAAGAAAGGGCTCGAACGGCGTAAAGACGGTGCTCTGTGACCGACGACGAAAATCGTTGGGAATTGAGGGGGTGACGTGTCCATTTGCGGTTGACCAGTTGTCACTGGGGAGGATCAGGATGTACGAGGACGGTTTTCGCGTGTTTTTCCCTTTCCGCTTTTCTCGCGTCCCTACAAAGGGCTCCCCCCCTTCCCTTCATATGTGAACCATTCATGAGAGGGCCGCTCATAAGAACGTTTGCAAAGGATGCCTTATCTTAATTGGAGATTTCGTCATTTTCGTAATCCTGTTGCTTTCAGCTGCGCTTAGTTTCAGGCTTTCATATTACAAATATCTGTTTTTAATATTTCTGTTTGCCACTCGATCAAGAGATTAAGTTATTTCATGTTCTATATATTTCTATATATTTTTCACACATTTAGAAGAAAACAAAATATATATATTTTTTTTAATTTATTGTAAAATTATATAATTATTCAATTTACTAAAGATTTTTTCGTCTAAGTATATGAAAAAAATTGTATAAATTAAGTATAAATTAATAATTTAATATTTATATATTTATATAATTAATAAACTAGTGTAATAATTAATAATTTAACGTAACGAATATTGTATGTGTGTTATTAATTATTTATTTTCAACATATTACATAATATTCGACAAACATTTCGAATTTTTCAATCAGTAAATGTGTGACGAATGAATTTTTCCATTACATAAACTCGTAACTATAATAGAAAAAATTTTTTTAGCGGATCAGGGAAACAAAAGGTGGAAGAAAAGGTAAGTTTTGCAACTATGCAACAAAGGCGCAACAGCGATGCCGAAAATTTTCGCAATGTAATCTTGCGCATTCATCTTCGAAGAAAGGGGTTTGCCTTTCGTGCATAATAGCGTCTCTTGGTTTAGTTAACCCTAACTTAGGTCGGATTAGCCAGTGTCCGGCTTTGGACATCTGTCGTATTGACGGACGATGGTCAGCCGAATCCAAAGTGAACAACAATAGTACGGTTCTCTTGCGCAGATCGCTGCGATACGTCACAGTTCAGCCACATCAATGAAATTGTCACTTTCCCCTGACATTTCATTTCCAAAGAATGATTATTTCGTAACGAATATTTTTCTAGAGTGACTATCATATTGTTCTCGTTTCGAAAAAATTTGTCTTTTCATCTGTTTCCAAATTACATCTTTCTTTGCAATATGTCAAATTTGATCGATGATAGGGAGTATTTAAAAAAAATATATACATGTCTTTAGAAGAAAACAAAATATATATATATATATATTTTAAATTTATTGTAAAATTATATACATGTATATATGTCTTTAGAAATATATAATTTTAGAATTGAGAATATATAAAGATTGACGCGTATTTAAAGAATCTTTAGATTACAATATTAATGTATCAGTTATTTTAATTTAAAGATTACGATTTTTTCAGACACTTGATAAACAATCGCGAGTCAAATATAAATGGCATGATAAAAAGAAACAGACATAAAATAAGTAATTGTATAAAATATAATTAAAAATATTAAAATCAGATGTCTGCTATATGGAATTTTTAAAAAGTTTCAAAGTTCATATATTTATATTTCAAATATGTTTGAAATTAATTTTCAAAATCATATGATTAAGAGAAGAGTTAAGATTTATACAAGTTTTAATTGTAAACCTTATAAATAAATTTATTATAAAATATCTTGAAATGATTTCTTCAACATTGAAATAAAATTTATTTTGCGAATGAAATACTTTTATCTGTTCGTTCAAATATGTTTATTAGCACCTTGCTATTTATTAAATTTTGTAAAAATTGTAAAAAACGAGAGATTCAAGCTTTAATAAGATAGCATTTTCGTACGAAAGAAATTGTGTTTCTTGTGCGAAAACACATTGTTTTTGCATGAATGAAAAGAAATTGCTTTCTTCACTGTAGGAAAATTCATTTTTCACATTTTCACCGCGGGATTCTTTTCGCATAAAACGACTGGTTATTAAGACGAGTTTCGGTCTCTTTTTCGGTTTTCTGAAAGATCGACTACAAAATAATTCTTGAAAGTGTTAACATTACGCTTTGCGTGATATTAATTATATCACGGTTGTTAAATAACAATTTTAAAATAGAGATTTCTCTCTCATAACGTTTACAAATTTACTTGATGCTCATAAATCAATCACTTATATACATTGATAAATATTTTTACAGGAAACAATGCGATTACACTTCAAAGAAAATGTTTCTTTCTTAGAAATTATGCATACTTTCAGAAAATCAAAAACTCTTTCGCAAAAATACTTGTAAAGAGTTCTCAATTTTCTGAAACCATGCAAGGGTAGTTTCATTGTAAATCTTTAGAAAGTAGACCTTATCGAAATGTGTTCCGTATTTATTAAAGAAAGAAGCAAAAGGAGTTAGATATTGTGTGACATAATAAAATATCGCTTTTGTCACGGTATTCTTAAATTACCATAATGTTTTTAAATGATTTTAAAACTATATAAATCTCTTTCACGATAGAATGGTTACAAAACATTGATTAGCTTAAATAATTTGTAACAAAATTTTAAAAAATTTGAATACTAAATAGATAAATTCAAACATCAGGAAATGGACCAATTAGTCAGAGTTTTGTAATCTTCTCATTTTTTCATCATTATAAATCAATCATACAAGTCAATTTTTTTCTTAGTTTTATGGAAGATAGTCTAAAGAAAAAAATAGAAAGAAAACTAATCTTAATTACTGCGCTTGATTCTTTCACACACATGAGCTATTTTCTTATTTGAATTTATATTTTATCTAAATTATTTTTCGCTCAGTTGCAATAAAAATGATTGCACAATTATTATTCATATTTGTCTAGGATTAGAACAGATCAGATTAGGCAGTACGTTGTGGCAAATGATCAGGAGAAATGGGCCGTACAAGAAACGCAAACCTTCGAAGAATCCTTTTGGCGATCAGCCGTTTATGAAGGGTGTTATTTTGAAAACTGTTATTAAGAAACCGAAAAAACCTAATTCCGCAAATCGCAAATGCGTCATTGTACGATTAACGAACGGCAGGGAAATGACGGCGTATGTACCTGGTAAGTTTTGTGTAATTCATTACTTACAACAAACAGACCTCTCAAGTATTTTCCAGCCACTTGAAGAGTTTAAGTAAATTAAATTATTTCAGGAATTGGTCATAATTTACAAGAACACAATATAGTACTCTGTAGGAGTGGCCGATTGCGAGATGTACCTGGTGTTAAAATAAAATGTGTTCGCGGAAAGTACGACTTGCCGCATGTAGCTAAACGCGAATAGTTTATAATTAGCTGTAATTAATGTCTGTTTACGTCAGACGTAATCTTTACCATCAGAGAGGACATTACCGTTAAACACTTTGATTAATTATATACAACACTTACAATAAGTATGTATAAAATAAAAATAATAATTATTTCTTAAAATGTTTGAAAATGATATTTTTCTCTTTCTCTCTTTATTTTATAAGAAACGTATGATTGAAAAATTTCTGTAACTCATAATAATATTTTAAAGTAGAAATATTTCTAGTATCAATTGAATCGAAAGATAATTGTAACATTTTCGATAATTCTCTCAATTCTAATAACTCTACGAATTTTTTCAATAGGCCCTTTGGAACAAATAATTATATGAAATGTTAAAAGAGATTTATGTTTTAATATGCAATAAGAGAAATATACTTGTTCAACGTAAAGAGTTGCGTCCAACTATCGTTAATTAATTTTTTTGATTAATAATACGAAAAATAAAAAGAAAAAATCGTTTCTACAAAATATAATGTAAATATAACTTAATAGATTTTTAATGAGCATTGAAGATATTTTCGTTACAAAATTGATGTTAATCGATCACGAGATTGGAAAGTGATTTTCACGGTTTCCGAGACCCTTTGCAAATTGCGGCCCTTTGACACAGTTTTGGATCTGCACCCCGCATTCACCGTTACCTGAACCATGCGGCTTAACGGACAATACACATCGGGATGTCACAGTGGGAAAAGGGTTGTGGCACAGCCTCCGTCCTCTTCACATTATTACGGCCGTGAACTTTACGCATCTGCAGCTTGCAATCTCCTTGCGCCCACGCAGCCACTCGCTATTGACCATATGACATGCTGCTGACCAATATTCCGACATTTCGGGAAGTCCGGCTCTCAACCTGAATTAGAACCCTTCGTCAAAGAAAAGCGACAAAGGAAAGCATCTTGCATAGGGAACTTGCATTTTCTTACGTGAGAAACAATAAAGAGATCAGCACCTTTTCCTTGATGTATTCGTACCTTTTCTAAACCTATACCTATCTATTTTCCATGCGTTAAAATTACGTTTCAATCGTATATCAAATTTATATTTTTGCAAAACTAAGATAATTGTATCGTAAATGTAGCTTTTTTAAATTTAAGCCCAGAGAGAATTTAAAAAGTATGTCAAAAGTTTTTTATTTATATATTTATTTATATATTTATATATATTATATTTAGTACACACACATATATATATTTCTTTTTAGTTGCATAATTTTAATTAAATGTAATATGTGTGTGTGTGAATGAGAACCTGTTACAGAATACGCTTCGGGTTGTCTCGAGGGATGATGATAGTGCCAAGCGCCACGAGGCGTGCGTACGCCAGAATGTTCCATTAACTTTCGTAACGTGTGTTCCCTTTATTTTGTGAGAAATACAGCTGACGTCATCGTTAATTATTACTCATACGTAATGTTAATTGAATTCATTGATAATACATTTTTTCAGGAGGAAGCTAAATCATAAAATTGATTTATTTATTTTTGAAGTTTTATCTATGTTTTTAGAAATTATTTTTTGAGAATTGCATCTTTTATAAAAATATAATTTAATAGAGATACATTTTTCTGATACTAAATTTTATTTACATAAAATAGTTTTATTTTTAAATTTTGATTTTTCTCTCATTTTTTCATAAAGCAAACGAATGCTTGAGCTAAAATTAAATGTGATGGAATCATTAATTATTATTATTAAGTAATCTGCTTAAATTTATATATAAATATTATTAAAATACATTTTGATATGATATTACTAAAACACATTAGAAATTAATTAAAAAATCAAAAAGAACGGCATAAGCCATTATGGCTTATATCATTTTCTTTTTGTGTCTTTGATTACTTGAGCCAAGCTTCTAATTATTAAATAGTAATTAATTATATATGTTGAAAGCATATTTTGAATATAAATCTATATAATAACACAATCTATATAATAATACAATCTGTATAATAACTTTGAAAAATCCTAATTATTATGCTGGAGAAAAAATTACGTGTGATAAAAATGTAATTAATTTAAGTTGTATTATACGTATGCCACATTTCTGTATGTTAATGTAATTTGAATTTCGAATTCCTTTACTATGAATCAAGAGAGAAAACCACATTATAATAAATACTTACTATAAATGGTAACTACGTAAATATCAATTTACATATCTCGATCTTGTCGCCTTAATAAATTTTTTTATTGACATTTCAAATTATCTTGTCAATTGCACTGGACAAATACGATGCATAAATCTGCTTATGATGAAAAAAGTACACATTACATGTTCTCGAAATTTAAAAATATAAGCTGGATTTGTGTAAGCTTTCTATTAAAATCCTCTCAACATCTTACGCACTTGAGGAGTCATAATACATCTAAAATATTAATTACCATCTTTAATTCTTTTATCCAATCTTTAGTTATCTATTAAAGTTATTTATTAACTATTAAAGTTATTTACTATTAAATTTACTATTAATTTATTTACTATTAAAGTTATTACTATTAAAGTTATTTATTAACTATTAATTATTTATTAATTATTAAATCATCTTAAATATGTTTTATTATATTTTAGATAATGAAATAATTAAGATTGTGAATTTCTTAATGTTTCTTAATGAATTTCAGCATATATTATATACTATGTTATGCTTAGCATATATTATATACTACAATGTTTCAAAACTTAATATCAGTTGTGTACTTTTTATCAAGAATCAATGTAATGATCATTAATGAAAAAAAAATATAATAGACTATAAAAGATATTAAAATATAATTATTACAGGACTCCCTCGTGTACGTCGAATATATGTTTATATGTATATTCATATATCACACCAAACACAAAATTATTATTAACTAATTAGTAATAATTTCGCTAATCAATCAATTTGAATTGTTGAACATCGCGAATTAATCGATCTCATTTTGATTTAATCTATAAATTGAAATTCGGCAAAAAACAATCTTACGCATTCGATAAACATGTGTACTAAAATATGTAACTAAAATTCTGTTTGAAATACAGAAACGTTTTAAACACAGACGTGCACAAAATGTTTTCCGACACACATTGTCGCGACGAACTGATTCAACAAAACGATGACGATACCGAAAGAAAGTTTACAATACTCGAGTTTACAATACTCGAGTTTTCAAATGACTACGACGTTCTAGAAGAGGTTTCTCAAATAAATGTCATGAGTAAAGGTTTTTCATGGTTCAACTCTTTGCCGTTCAGCTTAGTAACCGAACACCATACTGCTCCGAAACTCGTCCTGCTCTCGTAGTTTGACTACTACTGTTTACGAGTATTTCATTTCATATATATGCCCAGCCGTGCCATTATTTTACATATATAATATTTAATAACATTATTAACTATTTAAAAAATTAATATAAATATCAGTGAGATATTTAATATGATTCTTAAGCCTTAAAGAAATATTTTATAATTTAAAATCTATAAAAGATCTATCTATAATCTAATAATCTAAAATATATATTTATTTAAAAAATATTTTATATATTTATGATATATAAAATTAATAATAAAATTATACATTTTTGTAATTTATAAATAATTTAATAATTAATCAATTCGAAAAATTAATTTGACTTATAATTTATAAATAAATTATAGTTTCTTATAATTTTTTAATTACAATTTCATGAAAAAAAGAAGATTTTTCTGTTATCAGATACAACTAATAATATAAAATATAAAATAATTTCTCTCTTTTTTTATAAAATCAAATATTTAATCCACTTAAATTAATTTTTAAGAATAATATATGATTGTGAGATATTTTGCATAATAATAATATTTACATTTTTTAAATTTGACAGATTGTCTCTAGATATGTTCCTCCTATATATTTTTTCTAATATTCCCCAGATTACAGCTTAATCAAATAGCTATATCAAATTTTATTATAAGTAATTTTGATTATATCCAATACTCGTTTGTCGGAGAGATCCATTTGTATGGAGTGCAAACAGAAGATTCAATGAAAAAAAATGTATTTGCGAGTGATGCAAATTAAATGCGAAATGATCTAACGAATGATACTGTAAAGCGAGGAAGATTTTTCTGGGAGAGACAAATATAAACGATTATAATGTTAAAAAAATGAAATTTATATATACGAATTTTATAAATTCTTATAAATTATAAATTTTTCATATTATTTTCTATGGATTTTTTTAACTTAAATACTTTAAACGCCATATACAGACTTTGCTCGTAAAATGCAGCCACAGAGATAGCTTTTTCAAAAAAAAGATCTCAATAAATTTGTTTAATATAATATTCAATTTATTCGAAGAAAAATTAATGATTTGCCCTAAAGCAAATATCCATTCAGAGTTATTCTTTTTTCATCTATTATGAATTCTTTTGATTTCGAATGTTATTTTAACTCTTCTCTTTATTTCCATTTTACCTATTTTTTTTTTCTCGAAGAAACGACATTTGTTTGTTTCCTTCATTTCTAACAATGATGTTATTTATGACCAAAATCCACCTACTTTGTAACGGCTTTCTATTATGTATTTCTATTTCAAAAATTACAATATGTGATGGAGTCTGGATTATGGTCTAAGCTGATCAAGAGGAATGTTAAAATTTACGACTCTGATTGCATGAACTGAGGCTTTATAGTAATTTTTAAAATGATCTCTTTGTAACCAAACTAGCTAACTTTAAATTTCTCTAAACATATACATTTATCAAGATAATAATCATTCATTACAGTATTTTGTGTAGTTTAATTATACGAGAATAACGTTATATGTTGGATCAGTTATTGTCTGAAAATAATCAATCATGAAGAATCTATAATTGATGTCTCCATTTGCAATCGATAAATAATGAATAATAATTTTGGATTAAAATTTATGAATCCTGAAGCGTAATTAATGTAAAAGATGTGATTTTTATTACATATATATTAAAAATTCAGATTGTATGCTGAAAATTTTGATAACGATCTAATATCTTTATTAATGGTAATGTAATTAATTATTTAATTTAGCTTCTTACATGAGTCATATAGATAAATACAAACTCGATAAAGTATAAAATCAATAATGGATCGCAGATAAATTGATCATGACTTACAGTCGAGAAATTGTAAACAAGAAATCACGTAAACATTGCGTGTTAGAATTTATGTGGCAACACAATACGGGTATACTGCGTATAAATATATGTATTATATAATATTCTTTCCATATAAATTGAATTGTTCCTCTCTAAAAGTACAGAAAATGAAAATGATAGAGTCGATCTCCGTATCATTCGTAATTTTTTATGAAAATATAAGAATGCAATTTATTTAAATGCACATAATTTTAAAAATACATTAAATGAGAATATTAATAAAGATCCTCTCCTTCCCAATTGTTTAGAAATTATTTGATATTGATATATCTCAAATTAAAACAAATATTTTATAACATATTACGTATTCACTTATATTCTCTTCGATGAATTTCAATCTGAATTCTTGATATATATGTAATAAAAATCACATCTTTTACATTAATTACGCTTCAGGATTCATAAATTTTAATCCAAAATTATCATTCATTATCAAATAAAGAAAATTTAAAATGATAAACGATGTGATAATTGCAATTTATTATTCGCAAAAATGAAAAAATATTTGCAAGAGAGATTGCATCCCTATTTTTTCGTCATTCGAGAATATGATCGGTGCTAACGGTACATGGCTATTCATGACAATCTCGCAAAAATCAGGCATTTCGATGAAAAAGTGACGAGGTGGATCCGGAGTATCCGTCCGATACCGTTAACACTATGGTGCACGTGAGTCTGTGCGAGGGTGCGGCAGATGCAAATAGCGAACGCATTCATCCGTCGTCCGGGACATCGGAAAATAACGGGTTGCGAGTCGGCGTTTGCGGCAACCATGGAAAATGTGGGTTATGCAGCCAAAAGAGCAGCGAAAATTTGTATACATGGGAAAGAGGAGGCGGTACGATGAATTGAGCACGGGAGTGCTTTTCTATGAATGACAGGATGCTTTAAGCGGAGCCTGGAAGAGACGACTAAATTTGGCGTGATCGCAAGACATAGACATAATGAGAGGGTTGCCTGGGGTAAGTGAGTTGTAACTCGAGAGTACTCTTGTTCCTCTGACAATTTTCATTTTTATTTTACGCATAACTACATACACATAAATTGTTCTTCGACGCGAATCAAGGATAAAAGAGGAAAAAGCATGAACGATATAAATTTTCATGAGATAAAATTGCGATTTCTTTATTCAAAAAAAAAATATTGGCATGTGAATATATCTCGAGCTCTCTGATTATGATTATGCTTTTATTCGATTTAACTTGTATTAACATTCATTGTTAGAAAAAATAATTACTTTTAAGATGTAACCAGTATTTTTTTTATGAAAAATTCGATTTATCTTCTCCCGCAATTTCATTCATTTCATTTCTTTTTCATTGTTGTATAAAATGTTTTAAAATTACATAAACTTTTAGAGATATAAAGCACATATCAATTTTTGATTGTTTTGATTTGTGTTTTATGACTCGATAAATTTGACGTACAAATAGAGGTGCAAATAGAAAAAATGTATCTCTATTTGTCCATCTTCTTTATACAACAATGAAAAAGAAATGAATGAAATTGTGAAAAAATATTGAAAATTGAAGTTGAAAAAGTAGAAGGAAAATTTTGAATCTATTATTTTATAACAACTTTTTTCTTTTTCTCTCTCTTACGATTTTGTTAGATGCTACATTTGAATATATTGCAATACATTTGAATATATTTCAATACATTCGAATATGTGAATAAACTTCTTTGCTCTGAAGTCGAAGGTAATTTTTCTATTATTGAAAATTATGCATCTCTTTCGCTGGATCACAAAATAATAAGAAATCGAAATAAGAAATAAAATATTTAAAATATTAAAAAAATATTGCAATAAAAATTCGTGACAAGAAATGAATTTGATATCAATATTTTTCGTACAAGCAATTTTAATTTACATGAAATTTGTACGTAAAAATCGCATGACTTACATCGATTATATCATTATAAGAGATTTGATACAAGATGTACTTTAGACAGAAATGTGGAAACATATTTAATGCATTTCTAAAAATAAATAAATAGATTTCTCTAGACGTTATTATGTTGTTTGTAACAAAAGGAGCATAGAACCAAGATTAATTTTATACATACTGCTATATTTAATAATGCAGATGTTACAAATCTTGGATACTTGACATATTATTTTTCTCAAATGTTTCAAAATCTTAATTAGTGTCGCTTCGATTAAATCTTTGATAAAACAGTTGCATCGGAGAATTCATTGATTTCAAAGTAAACAATGATAATTCTTTTCAATACAATAGCATTTGTATGTGTACGATAAATCATATAAACGACACATGGTCTCAAAGTGACATATTACATCTCCAAAGAAAGGAGAGGAGGAGAAATACGACGCATGTTCTGGAAATTTGACATCACAGAACAGAAAATTTATTCTCTCATGATGCATTTTTCTTGGCAAAATTATTAAATAAATAGGCAAATATTAGATAATAAAGATACAGTTTCTCTTATTAGATGATAAAGATTCAGTGGCAAAATCATTAGATAAATAGGCAAACATTAGATAACAAAAATTCAGTAGTGGGATAATTTAATGTGAAGACAACCTTTTGGGCATGACCTAACATTTGGGATATTTTGGAAATTGGTCAAAATGACGGACACGCGTCGATTTCGAGTTGTGACCAACAGGTAGCATCGTTTCCCCACCTAGGGCTCTTGTGTGGGGCCTTAAAAGTACAGCTATATAAGCTTTACTTCAACCCCCAAGATTAGATGGTATAGGAGTTTCGCACAGTGAGCACGATTGACCGGATGTAAGACGGCGTGAAACCCTTTTCCTGTATTCTTTAAGCTGCGATTACAATTTAAAGATAGAATAACTGAAATATTTTCGAGAGAAGAAGAGCATCGTGTCATCATTAGTGTTGTGTTATCAGTTCGTATAACCTTGGAATAAGGAATTATTAGGTAAGCAGAGCGATATGTATTTATAGAGTGTGATAAGAAGGATTCTGTCGGATGTTAAATAATATTTTTACGTTTTCAAGACTTCTGGTCTTTTAGTTAAATGACAAGCTCTCTTTCTGGTTCGTGAATTAACAAATAGTTGTAAATCCTGATTAATAATCATAAAATGTCTATTTTTATTAATAATAAATGATGAAAATGGCAAGAATGAAGTAGTATTAGAGCTAAAAAACAAATTTTTCCCCTTTTTTATTAATATATTAATATAAAATATATTCAATTCTATTTAAATATAGTTATAATAAAATATGGACGTTTCGGGCCATTTTTAGTCCATCTTTATAACAATATTAATGTTAACAAAATATAATGAAAAATATGATAATAAAAAATATAATGTTAAAAAGATATGATGCATTCTTTCTAAAAATATGTTAATAATGCATTTTTTCCAAAAATAGTGTTGAATGTGAAAGTGTATCTATCACGTAAGCGATATTCATTAACCATGCATTGACCATCATAATTTAATGACTATCCAATCGAATAGAAACATATAAAATTAATTATTTCGGAATAGACATGTGCAAAGTCGGACAGAAAATGCCGAAATACTTTAATTTTTTTATGTGTTATTATCCTTTTAACAAAATATCCATATTTAATTATATTTTGTAATGAAATTGAATATTTTTTAATATATTAATAAAAACAAAAAGATTTTTTTTCTTGCGCTCTAATTACTACGCCCGTACTCTTATTTGCCATTTTTCGTCATTTAGTTATTACTTTGAACAAATTTTTATTTTATTTTATTATTTTTTTATTGTTATTTATGCCCATTTTTATTGAAAATTCAAGACGCCTTCTTACTTTAAAATAATTAGAAGAAAATTTCACATTTCATTCATCTATTTTATCGGAATTGTAATATATAAAAAAACGAATAAAAATTTTTTTTGCAAGAAAGTTTTTACTCGTTTTTCTCTATAATTTAATATCATTACAATTACAGGAGAATCTCAAATTTTAATAATAATTTTCCACAATTTCATCTTGTATTATCTTGTATTAACAATGTTATCTTGTATTGTCGCTGAATTTATTTGTAAAAAATATATATGCATACATATTTAAATATTCTATTAAAAAAATAAAAATAATTTTGTAATTCTTATAATTACAAGAATTATAAATCTTTATAATTCTCAATTATTCATTTTAAATTATTTTATTTTTAGTTTAACTAAAATGTATTTTATATAATTATTAAATCGCTGTTACGAAGCAATTAATTTATTTACAAAATTAATTAATTTAAAAGATTTAATTATTGTAGCGTTCACAAAATCAGCGCATTAATTTCAGTTTAATTGATTGCTGTAATTTACATCAAATAAATATATCTCAATAAAATATATCTCAATAAAAATATCTCAAGCATCAAGACAATGTCTTGAGACATCTTAATGACGTCATTAAAACGTTACAATGACGTAATTAAAACGTTATTAAGATATCATTTGACATCACTCTGCTACTTGAGATACTATCTGAAATATATTAATGTATTATCTGAAATATATAAAAATTATCTTATTTATTTAGTTTATTTAACACACACACGCATACTTATTTTTATTTTTAATACTTTGACGTGACACATGTATTTAATCATAGCACTTATTCATAGCTATTTAAGTATTACCTCTTGGATAATTAATAACATATAAAATATTTAGATATGATGCATTCTTTTCACAAATGATTAATGAGTGAAAGCATTTGTCTATTATGTAAACCATGCATTAATGACTATTTTGATTTAATGGCTATCTAATCAACTGACTTAAATATTTTCGTCCTTAAACGTTTCTAAAGACTTTCAAGTACTGATAAGTCCCTTTAGAAAGCGTTGGAGAATAATGTGCAAAGTGCAATACAAAAGCATTCATTATTATCATCGGTATTAATGCATGTAACTATATATGAATTTTTTAAGTAATTATAAATTTTGAATAGTCAGATATTATATAAATAATTATACATAAACATTAAATGGTGAAAAAATGAATCTCACACTGCGTATCGAGATTTGATCAGCATTTATTTAACTCACTTTCAATAATTTCTGTTAAAAATTATTGAAATTAAATAATTAATGGCAGAATTGTATATTAATTATATAATATTGCATAACATCAATTATTATTAAATTATGATTTATATTTTGTCATAAACGTTATATAATTAATTTTATATTACTATATTCATGTACACAAAAAGATAAAATATATTAAATGACAATTAATATTAATAAATAAATATTAATATTAACATTAATAGCGTAAAATTAAATAACATAAAATGTATATTTTCTAAAAAAAAAGGAAAATTTTACAAAATATTTTTAATCTGAAATAAAAAATCTGAAATAAAAAAAAAGAATTAATATTATGCGTACGTGCGCGTGTAAGTGTAATCAGAATTTAAAGTATTTTTGAATTAATTAAAATTTCATAAAAAATAACTTTATTTAAATTGTAAACTTTATGATTTAATTCTAATTTGAATGTTGTAACAAACAACATAATTTTTTAAGTATCTTTTAAATCATTTTACTTTAAAATTTTTAATAATTTTCTTATCTGCAATATAAAATATCAATGATTAATTATTAAGAATTTAATTAATGATTAACTATTAATAAATTTTATTTTATTATAGATAAATCACGCAGATAACAATGCAAAACGCCACAAATGATATGGAGCTAAAGAACGCGAACGATCTTCAAACTTGGGATTTATCTCGTCGGTCGAAGCAAGGAACCAACTCGGAATCAGAGGGAGAATCTAAATCTCAGAATTACTCGGCTCTAGACTTATCACGCAAAAATTCCGTGACATCTACAACAATCACAGACAGAAATACACTAAGGAGCTATTTGTTTCGAAGCATGCCTGCACAACAAATCCATCCAAACAGGCCAGATCAACACTCAAATCTAACGGATGTGGAGAAACAGAGTCCTTTTACGAGCGATATTCTGCTGTCATCATCATCCTCCGAGTCGGATTCGGCAAAAGAAACGATCGAGTGTATACCGTCCTTTTACAATACTCGCAGCAACATTACGAATAATAATATACCGCTGTTTGTTCCACCCCCGGGCGTAACAATAGGAATGCCATTTCTGCCGTTGCCTTCATACCTAAACAGCGAGGCCATAAAGATTCCGGTAGCGACCTCAACGATTGCGTCAACGTTTACATCGTGCGCAGAAACATCATCATTACAGACAAATAGAACTACCGAAAAGAATCCGCTAGAATTTATGAATGTCCCATTGACGCAAGAAATGTCAACGCCATCGTTGGAAGTGATAAAAAAGACCCCAAGGCCTTTCAAAGCATACTCGAAGAGTTCCTTTCCCGCTTTAAAGAGGCATATCGACACTGCGTTCACCTACAATTCAAGTGAATACTTTGAATTTCGAGAAAAAATGCTTACGTACAAAAAGATGAACGAGAATACACCGAATCCGAAAATGCGTCGAACATCCAAAACTGAACATCCGGGATTGCCTACCAGTACTGCTGAAGAAAAGGACGCTGCTTATTGGGAACGAAGAAAGAAGAATAACGAAGCAGCAAAGCGTTCTCGAGATGCACGAAGGGCCAAAGAAGATGAGCTCGCGATCTGGGCGACCTTCCTAGAAAATGAGAATACACGATTGAAGAGCGAATTAACAGGATTACACTGCTTGTTACAACAATTGGGTTACGATATAAATCAAATTAAGAAGTATAAACATTGGTGAAACTCTTCGAGTATGTGTAATGGTAACAACCTGATTTAGCAAATTGTCGATATACATGTAATGCATATATAGTGTTAATTAATGCTTACATAATGTTTATAATTAATGTTACATTTCTATGTACAAGCACATATACATACATTACATATATATTACATATTATTTATTTTTGCGTAAATTATATATGTACATATGTGTGTATATTATACATCGAAATATGTAACATACGTATATGTATGCATATATATGTATATATAATATATGTATAATATATATATATATATATATTTACATACATTATATAAATACATATATATATATAAGATTATTGTTATATATTAAAATACATTTATATGATGTAGACTTGTATAATGTGTATTCTTGTTTTATCAACTTTTCGTAAATAAAATATTTATTTATCTCCAAATTTATTAATTTTTCTAATCGAGAAGAATGAACGATCGTTTAATAAATGATTTATATTGAGTTATTACATTTAAAATTTATCATCAATTTATCATATATTATATCATATATCATATACATTTATCATATATCATATATCATATATTATATATTCTTAAACAAATAATTTCCTCGACTAATTTAAAAATTTATATTATGTAAAATTATGTAAATTATATTATGTAAAATTTATATTAGTTTTGAAGGAAATAAAAGAATTTTAAATGTATTTTCGTAATTATAATTTTCCTCACTTATTTTATGCATTAATCACTTTTGGAGTTTTTTATTTTAATGAATGTGCTTCTTGAATGCGCGGTTTGCTAGATTCAAATCAATCCTTAAGTTCTATCATGACTTTTCCATAATAAAAATCAGGAAACCTCAACATCAGGATGAAACATCAGGAATTAGACGAAATTTCAATATGAGTCAATACTGAAATTACAATATCAATTTCAATATTCAAGAATTCGAAGAATATCCTTGTGCGAGATTATTTATTCTCACAGAGTTAAGAAAAAGGAAAGCGATATAGTGGCTTTTTATTTTCGTCGAATGTAAATTATGTAATTGCAGCTTATATTGCGTTTTCTAAGACTTTTTAAAAAAAATCGAGGAAAAAAGAAGATATTATGTGTAGATAGAACATGAAGATGATCTTGAAAATAAGCGAATATGTTTTGCAACGAGAATGTTGCACCTTGAACGTGCGAGTTAGTTTATAGATAGATCTCAAACTAATTTATGTAATTGTAAAAAACGAGTAATCTCTTCGAAGATTCTACATATTGGATTTATATGATAAAAGAAATAAAAAAAGGAAAAATGCAGCTAACCCGGCATAATATACTATAAAGAAAAATTAATAAATTATAGTAAAACATACAATAAATATAATACGATAAATTCACTAAATTAATTTACATTAATACACACACATATATGTATATAATTTATATATGTGTATATATATATGTGTATATATACATACACACATATAGATACACATAGAGCATTAATTCGTTCTTTTTTTTTATCTCGATAAAAAGAAAGCATTTATTTGTCTCAGTAAAAATTACATATTCTTAGAAAAATATTTCAAAGTGTTCAATCAATGAAATTCAACTGAAATGAATCTTGTACATATACAAATTGTCAATCAGGCAGCGAATCTGCAAGTTCTGTCATAGTTTCTGATTCAAGAACATTCTTTTCTTTATTTTGATTACCTGTAAGTACCTTCGAAAACGATTTTTGTACTTGTCTAGGAACAAAAACTAATGATGTTGTTACTTTAGTGTTGATATTAGGTGTCGGAATTGCTTCCGAGCTAGCATTATTACTACAGACTATACTGGCACCTTTTGGAAACATTTTGCTTTTTTGATTTTTGAAGAATACTTTAGCAGGTTTTCTTTTACTTTTGTCATCAACATCGATTTCCATTCTATTCTCATTCGATTCGTCTTCCTTGATACAATGTTGTATATTGTCAAACCGATACTTCTTTGGAAATTTATGTATTTTAATGCAATGTTCTCTCCTTTCCATCGGATTGTAAAATTTTATATCACATTCAGAATCATAACATTGAAACTAAACAAAAATATTTTATATTATTAAAAATATATTATTAATAAAATGATTATAAGATTTAAAATTGCAAATAATAAATATAAATACCATTGCTTGCTTCTCAGCCATAATTTTAAAAAAGGCATCGTGCGTCTCTTGAATATGAATCTCCAATAGACGTGGACTTGGTCTAGATGCTTTACACTCTGTACAAGTGTATCGATGAGAACTATTATAATGCATCTCATAATCGAATAACGTTTGAAAAGTAGCCTGACATCCTGGGACGTAACACGAGAACTCTTTAATACTGAAATAGAATATCAACTTTACTTTTTTCATTCCAAGTCACATGTATATAAATATACACACAATCATTATTTTTATTTAAAAGGATTGAATTTAATTCTCTCAGAATCTAATTTAATTCTCTAAGAAGAATTTTGATTATTTTGTAATATTCTTTAAAGATAGGAGTATATAATTTCTAAAGTATATTTACATTAAAAATAAACTATTAAATTATGTCAATGTTTTTCAGAAGACCTACACTTACACTTCGTGACATAATTCCTCCTCGTCGTCAATCGTGATGCCTTTCCTTTGAAAGACTTTGCAGACTTTATAAGAATCGTCAAAGAAAGGATCATCCACAGGTCGAATTCCTACTCCCAACTGTTGAAGAACTTCTTCCATAATTGCGAAATATTAAGATATAGAAATAAATCATACGTCTCTTCTTCACAAGAATTCAATGTTCTATTTATCCTTTTATGTTAAATTAATAAACCAGGATAGTCATAACGATATTATTGTAGATAACTGTACTAGTATAATTGTAACAATATGATATTGTAATTAATATAATAATTATATAACAATAGGACTGTAATGATTATTTTCAAGTCAGTTTAAAAGTTGACATTGAAAAACATTATTAAATTTGAGAAAAACTCATGTACGATCCTTCCACTGCTTTTTATTTACTAACAATCAGAGAGAGAGGTCGGCGATACTCCCTCTGTGGATATTAAAAATATGAACATGAACTACAAAGCCATGTCCAGAGGGTAACATATAATGTCCAGAGGGTAACATATAATGTCCAGAGGGTAACATATAATGTCCAGAGGGTAACATATAATGTCCAGAGGGTAACATATAATGTGCACAATTTCTGGTTTTGTTCCGTGCTATGTGCACAAAATGGCGGTTATCAATAATTTTTTAATTATTTAAAAATGTAATTATTAATACATGTATAAAATTTGTTCAATTAATATTTAAATAATATTTAATTGTTGACTTATCACATCGAATCTTCACACTCTTATTCGATATTTCTTTAATTTATATTTAATGAACAATATTTAGCAATAATATCTGATGAGAGAGACAGCGATAAAATTCTTGTATTAAAACGACAATCTTATATAAGAACGCGAAAAAAACGAGCACGGTATTTTCGCAATCATAATTTATTAATTTATTTTACGAATATTCATAAATATAATAGATAAATTTAACGGAAATTGTTATGATTAAATTCATAATAATTGACTCGCGATTCTGTAACGAAGACGTTCGTCAAATTTTGTAAAGCTTATATTCAATAATAAGTTATATTAATTTAGCATCGAATTTTTATATTTTATATATTTTATATATATTATATATTTTATATTATATTATATTATATTATTTTTATATTTTATATTTTATCTTTTCCGATTTTATTAATGACTCTTTGATATGAAAATAACAATTACTCTTTTATCTTTGCATATTTCAAAAATATATACTACAGAAACAAATACTTTGTACAATATATACAAATACTTTAATTTAGACGAAATATATTTGTGATTCTAAATATTAAAATAATAATTATTGTCCGTAAAGATCGCAATTATCGAAGTGATTATTTAATATCTTGGATTCCTATCATTTAATCGATTCTCGATTAAATTGTATATTGTTTAATTAAGAAGGATTGAGAAAATTTAAAGCATTGGTCGAAATATAGTTAATTCTAGTATTGTTAAAGAATTATTATAAGCATCAGTGATGGATATCATAATATAATTAATTCTTTTATCCTGTTTTATGTATTCCCTGTTTCAATTCTTAATCGCAATAATGAATGATTGCGATTCGATAAAGTTTTATTGTTGCGATACAGTTTCATGTCGTTAATTAATTTTTAATTAATTAATTTTGTTAATATTTATAGCAAATTATGTTCCGATACTAATCGTAATCGTGTTTAGTAAAAAAATTAAAGTATACGAAACGTTTCTCACCACTACTTTATTACTCCAGAGTCACCGTGCGAATGATGACAAAACGGTAACGTATACGGTAGCTACTGTTTATAATTTATATTACGAAAAATGCAAATTATGTTTGGAACAATTTTATGTGTTTTATTAAAAGGTTTAATATTGACAAAGGCAACTATCACGCCGAAGGATGATAACAGTTCAAACATCCTTCAGGAAGAAAGTATTTCTATGTATCCGGATTTAAATTTCACGCAGGTAGGAGATATTTTTTCACTTGATTAAGAAACAATTAAATGTTATTGCAGCTAGTAGTGTGACTAAAAATGAATGAATAAATTATATATTCTATCTATATAATAAGATAAGATAAAACAATTCAATATAAAAGTAAAAAATATATATGATGTTGAAAAACAGATGGATAAAGTTTCGAAATTTTGTTTACAAATGAATGTTATATAATATATTGAATTTAATTAAAACGATATTTTAAAATTTGACTATGTATTTTCTCTCTTTCGCTTTCTCTCTCTAGATATATATATATATATATATATATATATATATATATATATGTATATATCTTTGTTGGTGAATAAAAAGTTTTTATAAATTTATAAAATGTTTGAAAATACAGCTATTATTATGCACAAATTTAGAAAGAGACCGTTATATTAATGTTTAAATTATTAAAAATGTTCTTATACAGAATCTCTTTAATAATATAAAAATTTTAAAAATAACAATGTATATTATTTAATATATGAATGGACTAAATAAGTCATCAAAGGAGAACAAAGCATCACAGAATTATTTTCATTATGTTTCACATAAATAAAGTGTTTATCACATTTTTTTGGAAATAAAGTAATTGATATATAGCGGGAGAAAGATGGAATTTAATTGAATGCACTAATGCACACTGATGCATAATAAAGACTGTCGTATATAAAATTACAATAGTAGAATTAAAATAATAAAGTAATTAATATTATAAATTTTTATATGATATTATATTATATATTAAGTATATTATACTAACAATAAGTTAATATTAACTAAAGTTATATCATATAAGTTATTATATTATAGGATTATTCAATACAAATTATGATAATAATACTTGCGCAATTAATTATATTACTTATTTTAGTATGTATGTGCTGCTATAAATTTGTACTTATTTACTAGTGCAAAAACGGCCTTACGTATCGCTTGATTCAACTGCATTATGTAAATGTACAGCTTGATTCAACTGCATTATGTAAATGTACAGCTTGATTCAACTGCATTATGTAAATGTACAGCTTGATTCAATTGCATTATGTAAATGTACAGTTAACGTATAAACAACTTTTCTTAAATCTATTCTTACTTTTCTTAGAATCAGAATATCTTTTTATAATTAGTAAACGTGCCCAAAGAGAAGACACTCAGAAATAAATTAATATAAAAAGTTTAATATATAAAATTCAAATTAAACAATTATATATACCTATAATTATTTTTATTTATAGAACTATTTTTGTTTTATACATATATAAACATATATACCTCTTTGTCGAACAATTTTTAATAATTTTAATTCTTTTTTAAATAACGCCAAATATTTCCGTAGAGAGAAATAAATTACAACGAAATGTAATTAATAAGACGTTATGACCAGAATCCGGATGTTGATGTCGTTTTTCCCACTCCAAGTACATTCTAACGACTGAACGCCGCGAAAAGCAGTATCGTCTATGCCAGTCTAGTGATGGTAGCACAGAGAGCACTGTCGCATAAAAAAAAAAAAAAAAAAAAAAAAAAAAAAAAAAAATATATATATATATATATATATATATATATATATTAACATACATATATGTTTATTTAATAATATTCATAATATATAAAATAAAATAATAAAATAATACATATACTAAATAAAGTATAAAATAATATAATAAATTATTATATTTTCTTTTTTTACGTGATGGTGCCTTCTTTGCTACCATCACTAGACCGGCATAGACTGTACTGCTATTCGCGACGTACTGCTGCTAACATGTACTTGGAGAGAGAAAAACGACGTCAAGATCTTTGAGTCATGCCAACACATGATCAGATTGATTATTCAAAGTCAGTTACTATTGTGATCGCTAGTCAAAACATGCTACCGTGTTACTTATCGTTTAATTCAAATTGCATTATAATAAACAAATTGAATATAATAACAAATTATGTACAAAGAATGGATTTATATATCGATTTTTGCTCACCAATAATGGATTTTGAAAAGCATACGTAGTAACACAATTGTACGTAGTAACACAAACGTACGAACGAATTGTTATAATTACATATTTAATAAAAGATATAGAAAATAGTGAAGTGAATTCGATTACACGCTACGTGTGCTTGAATATGGCTCAAAATGTTATAAGATCTATAATTCTAAAGTCTTCTTTGAGCGTTTGTAATTTGATTGTGATTATCTTTTTATCGAGTGTTTTTCTACTATAATATTAATGAAAAAGGAAATAATAATTATATTTTTGTATTCGTGATACAATCCAATGAATATGAACCATTTTGCATTGTCATTTGTTCTCTTAAAAAAAAGAAATAGAAATTATTTACTTACTAGGAATTCTCTAATTTAATCTTAAGATATATACTGTGATCGTGACCATTAAAAGAAATCTAAAAACATAACATTAGAAGATAATAATTTGCAATTCGTTAAACTGAGCTTTAAGGAATCTATCGAGAATATATGTATATATGTGAATTAATATCAATTCGATTAACACATCAGAATTAGTAGAGTGAAAAAAACAAGTAATTGAGGATTGAATGGAAATCGATTGATTGCAAACGTTTACGAAAAATGCAAATTATGTTTGAAAAAATTTTATGTGTATTATTGAAGAGTTTAGTATTGACAAAGGCAAGTATCACGTTTATGCCGACAGATTACAACACTTCAAACAACCTCCAGAAAGAAAGTGTTGCTATGTGTCCGTATTTAAATATCACGCAGGTAAGAAATATTTTTCACTTGATTAAGAAACATTTGAATGCTATTGCAGTTAGTAGTGTAACTAAAAATGAATGATAGTAAATTACATATTCTATAATAAGACAAGATAAAATAAAACAATTTAATATAAAAGAAAAAAGTATGTACGTTGTTGTAGAAAAAAGTGGATAAAGTTTCGAAATTTTGTTTACAAATGAATGTTATGTAGTATATTAAATTTAATCTATTGATTGATTTTCTTTTTGATATGAGTTATGTTTGATATACAATGCCTTAAAAAAATAAATAAAAAATAGAATTTACGATAGTAATAAAACTACATCACATTTAATATATATCATTTAGGAATGGTATATATCAAGCCGGTATTATTAAGAAAACAAAAAACAAATAGCAATTTTTTGTTTAATTTTAAAATTTATATAATTTATCATTGTAAGCAGCAGAAATAACCACTTCAACGATATTCACTTAATTCTTTTCGTATGTTATATTTTATGAAGGATATTTCAATGTCCGAGAAAAGTGATCATCATAAACTAAATTTCAAATCTGACCGGAGTCATTCTGATAGTACTGTGAGAAATAAGCGAGAAGTCGATGAAGTTACACTCGCAAATATTTCTATCATCCCAGAAAGAATCGGTAAGTTGCAA